GCATTGAATCGGTAGGTCACTTTGGGTCATATTGTCATCGTAACAATATTAACTCTTCCAGTCCATGAACATGGGATGTCTTCCCATTTATTTAGGTCTTAATTTCTTTCAGTAATGTTTTGTACTTTTTAGTATACAAGTCTTTCACTTCCTTGGTTAAATTTATTCCTATTTTATTCTTTTTGATGCTATTGTAAATTGGATTGTTTTCTTAATTTCCTTTTCAAATTGTTCATTGGGAATATATAGAAATGTGACTGATTCTTGGTGTTGATTTTTGTATCCTGCAACTTTGCTAAATTCATTTATTAGAGCTAACAGTTTTATGTATGTGTGTGGAATCTTTAGCATTTTCTAGAGATAAGATCATACCATTTGTGAACAGAGTTAATATTACTTTTCCAATTTAGATGCCTTTTCTTTCTTTTTCTTGCCTAATTGTTCCGGCTAGAACTTCCAATACTATGTTGAATAGAAGTGGCGAAAGTGGGCATCCTTGTCTTCTTCCTGATCTTAGAGGAAAAGCATTGAGTGTGATATTAACTGTGGGATTTTCCATATATAGCCTTTATTGTGTTGAGGTAGGTTCCTTTTACTGTAGTTTGTTGAGTGTTTTAATCATCAAACAGGGTGTTGGATTTTGTCAAATGCTTTTTCTGCATCAATTGAAATGATCATTTTTCCCTTTTTCATTCTATTAATGTAGCAATATTATATTGATTTTCATATATTGGACCATCCTTGCATTCCAGGAATAAATCCCACTGGGTCATGGTGCATAATCCTTTTAATACTCTGCTGAATTCAGTTTTGCTAATATTTTGTTGGGGATTTTTGTATCAATATTCATAAGGGATATTGGTCTGAAGTTTCCTTTTCTTGTAGTGTCTTTGGCTTTGGTGTCAGGGTAATTCTGGCCTCATAGAATGAGTAAGTATTCTCTCCTCTTCAATTTTCTGGAAGAGTTTGAGAAAGATTGGTGTTGATTCTTCTTTAAATATTTGGTAGAATTCATCATAGTAGCCATGTGGTCCAGGGTTTTTCTTTGTTGGGAGGTTATTGATTACTGATTCAATTCTCTTTATTAGTTATAGGTCTACTCAAATTTTCCATTTCTTCATGATGCATGACCAGTTGGCTTCATGTTTCCAGGAATTGGTCCCTTCCATCTAGGTTATTCACTTTGTTTTCATGCAATTATTCATAGTATTCTCTTATAATCTTTTTTATTCCTGTAAAATCAGCAATAATGTTGCCACTTTCATTCTGTTTTTGTAATTTGAGTCTTCTCTTTCTTTTTCTTAGTCAATTTAGCTAAAGGTTTGTCAAACCTGTTGCTCTTTTCAAAGAACCAACTGTTGGCTTCATTAATTTCTGTTGTTTTTCTGTTCTCTATTTATCTCTGCTCTAACCTTTATTTCCTTCCATCCACTAGTTTTGGGTTTAGTTTGCTCTTCATTTTCTAGGTTCTTAAGATGTACAGTGAGGTTATTGATTTAAAATCTTTTTTTTTTTTTTTAGTGTATCACCTATAATTATAAATTTCCCTCTCAGCCCTGCTTTCACTGTATTGCATATGTTTTGGTATGCTGTGTCTTCATTGTCATTTGTCTCAAGGTATTTTTGAATTTCCTTTGTGATTTCTTCTTTGACCCGTTGGTTAATTTCCATATATTTGTGAATTTTCCTGTTTGGGCAATTTCATTTTAATAGTTCCAGCAGCAGATTTCTCATCACTTCTCTTAGGAAGGTTGTTGCATAGCAAAATGGCCTTTAACAACTTTTTCTGCTTTTACACTTAACTCTCCTTGTTATATATTAATCTCAAGACCCTTTGAGGCTTGCCCAAATTCTGATGTCCCCTGCAATACGTAGGCAAGTCATTCAAAAGTCAGCTCACTAACTTAGTTACTGGTGAAATCTAGTAACTTTGTTGGTGGTACGACATTATATCAGATATGACACCATGATGGACCAGCTGTAGCTACTTATGACTGGGATAAAATGACCACTCCTAATTCCATGATCAAGGGCAGCAGGGCCAAAGTGAACCACAGTTGACCTTTTTAAATCAACTGTCTTTTTTTAATTAGAAAAAAAATATTTCCACACTAGCAATTCATTGCTCGCTTTTCTGGATGTTTCTGAGAGATACAGCAAGACAATTCGTGTATCTGATTAGTGTACAAAATGTGGGAAAGGTAGGCAGAGTGGGGCCTTTGGAAACATAAGCCTAAACACCTGACGTTGTTCTCAAATGAAATCCAAAAGCTTGTCCAACATGACAAATATTCCTATCTTGTATTAAGTAGAAAATGTTTCATTTAAAAATTCTTCAATTCTTACAATTTAAGAATTCTCAAATGCCTTACAATAAAAACATTTTAAAAATCCTGTGAATTTATTTTCTGATTCGACTTTATCATATATTGACATGAGTCAGGCAGTCTCTCGCTACACCCCGTCTCTGACTGTCACCGTGAAGCTGGAGGCAGGCTTCTTCACTCGCATGTCAGAGGGGACATGATGGCCTCAGAAGCTGAGAGAGATTTGTCCAAGGTTGGATGTTTGGGAAGCAACTGCCTTAGGAATTACACCCAGGGGCCGAGTCCAGAGTCTTTGGATTTCCCACTTCAGCCTTCATTTTTCAATCCATATTTTTGGCCAAAATATCACAAAATACATATGATATGATGGCTGCTGAAACATTTTCAAGTTATAAGCATCTCATGGTTTGGTAAATGCTTCAATTATTTTAAAACAAATTATTTGGTGGCATGATGGGCAATTTCCTTTTCTTTGAATCTCTGTGAATTCTGTTAATCCAAATGCACAAGACGACATTTTAAAAAATTCATTGAACAAATATTGCTGAATATCCTGTATGTGATAAGAACCTTATTAGACACTGAAATGAATACTAAGACAATCCTACCTCTTAAGGAACTTTTATCTTATGGAAACAGGATCCGTATTTTAAAAATCTTAAAGCAGTGTTTGTGTCTCGCATTTTGGCAGTTGGTTTGTATGTATCTTTTAGGGAAGATTTCAGAGGAGAACTAAGGTGCAGCTTTCAGGAGCTCAGACGTCTGGTGAACTGTCAGGGTGGGCACGACCTGGATAGACGTTAATAATTCCAGTGCGGAAACTACGTACCTAACATAGCTCTTACCCCTCTGAGTGCCCTCAGCTGTGCAAGGAGCATCTGGGGCTCCCTGGCACCCATGCTGTGTTAGATAAGAGTAAAGCAAGGAGCAGTGCCTGGTACGTGGCAGCTTCTCAAAGGAGTGGCTTCTTTTCTTTTTACCAAAATAAACACATTACTCAGGGAACTTAGAAAGAAAAAGAGAGAAGCGCTTGGATACAAGCCCTGAAGTAAAGTGCATCCAGAAGCTTGGCCAGGAGCAAGCAAACATGTTGGTTTGGACAGATTTTGGCACAGGGAACTCCCCAGTTCATGGCAGGACCAAACAATCCTGGGCTTCGCTCCGGTCCTTTGGGGAGTTCAGAATCAACCCAGTACAGTGACTCCCCAGACCCCGTTCCATTTCCTCGGAGCTCTGCTGTCCTTTGACAGCAGGTCATCACATCTCCTGACGTTCCCTCGGGAGCAGTCCCTGGGAGCCACCTTGAGAGGCAAGCCCCATGCAGTGTGGTGTCCACTGTGTCCGCCACGTGAGACTAAAGCACACTAAAATGTGCTCCTCAGGGACGCTTGCCCTGCGTTTGCTTCAGCCCACCACGTGCAGGAGCTCAGACACTTGGGGATGCTTTGCTTTCAGGGTCATTGTGCACTAGAAGCATTGACTTTTCTCCCCTCTGAAATGTAATAAATTGCAACTGTCCCTCTTAACAAACTAACTAGTGGGAGAGGGAATAAATTCCCCCCGCAAACATGAAACAACAAAACCTCTAACAAATGGGGAGGATGAGCAGAGTAGTCAGGCCAGGAGGCAGCAAAACAGAGAACACAAAACTTATGAGCCAGCTCCTCCACAAAATGGGGTCACCACCTGTTTCCTCATCACCTCACAGGGCTTTGTGAAGATTAAAGAATGGATGTCAGGCATAAAAACTGTAAGATGCTATCCTCATCACAGGCGCCACAGATGAATTAAATGTGCACTCTACAGACACAGCAGTGCACCGTCCACTACCACTCTGACTTATATTAGGAATTCAGGATCATGCTTCTGATATCCTCATATATTTCACTAGAAGAAAATGGAATGTCACATGTCAAGGTTTGTGCAGCATCGCATCGGTTCCCCGTACAATGCACAGATTAGGAGTCTCTGAGGCTATGGCCAGCAAAATCAGCACACCAACGTTTCAAACAGGAGGACAGGACCATCACTGTGAAGGGATTTCATCCGAGGCCTGGGTGGGGGTGGCAGAAAGACTATTCTGATCCATACTCTATCATATTTCCCGATAATCCAAAGACAAACCCTTTGGGCTGTCTTAGTTTATCTCACTCCCCTCCCCCACTGAAGTGCGTTCACTAAATTGGTCTTGCGGGTCCTGCCGTCATCTTCATCAGGGGGTCCACGAACACTCACTGCCACCTACTGTTGCAATGACTGTCGACTTCTAGTTGAGGACATCACCCTAGTGCCCCATTGCTGAGGGCATCAGGATGACAGTTCTTTCAGAACTGACTGACAGAAAGGACTTTGCTTTTCTTGAAGAATTAATGATTTTGTCCCCTTGTGAACATGGAGAATCAGAATCATTGAGTGCGTAACTGATTTTTCCCCCCACGAGTGGCTTTATATTGCTGTGAATTATTTTTCACCTTAAATCCAAGGGCAGGAAAAATAGCACAATCCAGTTTGTTTACAGGTCCATTAATTGAAGGTTATCACCTTATTTTAAAAATAGTACTTGAAGGAAATATCCCTCTTGTGGTTTTAATAAGTACTTAAAACCAAAAAAAATTTAAAAATCTTTAAAGGAAACAACACATTTTTTAAATTGAAAGAAACAGTAATACTAAATTTGAAAAGAGTGTTGATGTCACTGTGGTTTATTGGGTAAATACAAAGGATAGGCTCTTGCTTTTTGTTTTTTTTAAGCAAAGCCAAAGATATTAGAAACCAAGTACACATATCTTCTTTAGAATAGAAACAGAAATTAGTTTTAACTATTAGGCACTTAAAATGTAAATGTCAAGTGGCATTTTAGAAGTATAAACTGTGGTTACACTCCTAAACTCCTCCTAAAATGTCTTTAGGAGCACAAAAGCACAAGCAGGGAAAACATATTTCTAAACAAAGATAATTTCCTCTTTTAAGAAAAGAACCTGAATTCAAATCTCATATGAGAAACCAATGATCAAGAGATTGGTGGGGGGGGTGGGGGGGGGGGGAGAAGAACTTCTGAAATTTACATATTTGATTAAAATGTAAGCATTTAATAAAACTATTACAATAGCATACAGTATATATCATAATGAAAAATATATGTCAGGAAAATAATGAATTCTAGACTTAAAATTTTACTTTACAACAAGGCACTTAACACATTGAAACAGTACAGTAAATTTCCGAAAGAATGCAATTGGCTCCTCTCAAACCTTTAATATTTCTTTTGTGAATATACTGTAACATAACCATACATTTTGCAGCATTAATCATTGCATAGGAGGTAAATTAAATAATGAACTCCACCTTGGCAACTAGCTTAGCTTATGTTTACAGTTTCTTCTTTTTCTTTTAAAGGACAGTTTTAAATAATTCCACAATAAAGAACTATTCTCATTCATGATTCATTTAGAACACAGCATAGTTAGACTAATGAGTAATAAAATAAATCAACTTATAAGGTGTATATCTGTATAAAAACTTATCTTTGGGTACCTGTGACATGATTTTCAGTGTTTTAGGTAGTGAAGTCAAGAGCACTTCTTAATAGAAGAAATATTTTTAGCAAGTAAGTCAAAGGAGTTAAATTATTGCAACACAATGACATTAAAGAAAATACCAGCAATCTTTATACATACAAATAGAAAAGCCTTCAACATATGGCATATTACTTACAATATGCTTGATTTAAACATGTAAACTCATTTATTAGCAAATTCCTTCTCACACTTCCTTACACTACAGAAGTGAGTGTGTTAAGACTGGTTTAAATTTTTAATCAGTTTTACAGTGCAAAACAAAAACCACAAAAAAGGGATTAAGAAAGAAACGTTCAAAATATTCAAGGAACAAGAGGGGAATTTCCAATTAAAAAAGAAACTGCGTGAGTTCCAGCACACAAAAAGAGAAAAACGACAGACAGCCAACTTGGTGTTTCCAAGCACACAGCGCGCAGGGGTTATAAAGGGAGACATCACTGATTGTGGCGGTGAGAGGTAAACAGTCTGCAGGTCTTCTTTGATCGAATGGATACGAGATGAGAATTGCACCTCCCTGGGGTCTAAGCACATTTTCCCTTTGGGAAAGGTTTAAAATGCCTTTCAAATAATTCCTTTCACATGATGCTTTCAGATTATTGGCAAAACTAATGAAAAACAAATGCCTTTTAAAAACTTGAAGTGGCAAGTTTGTGCTCCAAGTCATAGAACGTATTTCCACAAGGGGGCACTGGAACACAGCAAACACGCTTGTGTAACGTGGTCCGTGGCCAGACTAGAGACCAGGGTCTCTTAAAACAGCCTTTCTTCCACAGCAAAACTTGTGTCCCGGGATGCCAGTCAATTAAACAACAAATTCACAGTTTCTTTGGGTGGAACTGGGGATGAATGCTTTCTTTTCAGAGCTAGTGGAGGAGCTCAAAAAATCGAATCTGAGAGGAACTTATTTCCATGTGAAAGAATTTAGAAAAAAATATGGCATAATTTATAAGAATTATATGTTATAGATATTGCACTAAAGGACTAAATTACGGGAAAAGCTTCAAACAGGAGCACTGGTTTACAAAAACAAGGATAATGCATGAAATCTGGTATCTTATTTAATTAGCAAGGAATGGGGGCGCTGAAAATTTACTGTTTCAAAGGCCGGGTCATGTGTATGTTTCATGTCCCCAGGCGGCATGTTGGGGTAAACCTCAAGTTTGCTTTCCCAAATGTAAACGAGTTTCACTATTTCTCTTATTTTCCCATCCTGAAACTTTGATATGTCCCCCCTTATTTTCAAACCACATGCTTCCACAGCATCTATTAGAAAGTGATGACACATATGCATAAAGAACATGGGAGCAGTATGTCCACGTGGGGGGGGGTCATAGATGTTTTTAAAGTTCTTTAAAAGGTGATGGTATTATTATTATTATTTTTAAACTGGATTATTTGACTAAAATGCAAGGTTGACTGTTTCAAAGGGTCTCCAACAATCAATACACCACAAGTTTTAAAGCTTAAACACTTTTCCTTATTTAATTTGAAGAAAAGTGGGTTATCCGAAGGCCTCTGAATAAGGCTCGCCGGTCCCTCAGGCTGTTTCATGTGAGTGAGAGGGTCTGAAATACCCCAGTGTCAGGAGGGCAAACCCAGGCCTTGGGGTCCGGGGCTCTCCCTACAACCAGATCGCAGGAGTTTCAACTCTGTGTTTTCAAGCACAACACCTTGTTCTACCCCACGTCAGTATTTAACAAGGGAAAATTATGTAGAATGATGGCTGAAGGCACCAGGTAAGCCACAGATATGTTTCTTATTGGTTTAATAATTAATACTGGAAAAATCTGCATTTCAAAGCCTGCCAAGGATGTTTTGGGTTTTAATTCTTGTTTTAAATAACCAGATTAGAGAGTTTTTCTTCCTGCCTTTGAATTCAACTAACTTTCCTTTAGTGATGCTCCTGTTACACAGAGAAAGCCATATGGAAAACACACCCAGAATTTTAGCACCAAAGGATAATGACCCTTCTGAACAGATCTGTATTGTGCTTCTCTCGAACAATGAAAAGTTCAATTTTGTGTACCGAACCAAGGTTGACCAGTTTATGATGACAGATTTAGGGATGTTTTTCATTCTAAGTGGAGGGAAATCCTCACCTTCAATAGAAATGTAACTGCCTCCTTCCACCCCATTGGCCTCTCTGCCCTCTGACCTAGGGTTGGTGATTTTGTAACCTTAAATCTTTTTCTAAGGTTACTAGAAGTCTTAAGAAATTAAGCCAAGAATTATCCAAAAGATTCAATAGCATTAAACAATGCACTAAAACTGATGGCATTAAATCTGATCAGATTTCTAAAACTCCATCTTTTTTTGCATCACCTCAAAGAACTTTAGAAACAATTATCCCCCTTAATCCCCTTCACAGCGTAGCTGTCTAACACGCCGGCCCAAGAGGAGGTTATAGTGCAGCACCGTGGTGTAATCTCAGGGTCAGAGCAAAACTGCTCGGTTGTGGCGTATGTCCTCAGGACCAGTTTGTAAGAGGCTGAGTCTCTTGCTAAAAGGCAAGGATGCATTCAACTTTTGGACTCCATCTCAGTTTTTTCACAAAGCACAATGTAACTGGGAAGAAATCGTTTTCAGTGAAGTGTGACCAATTGTATTTGAGTTCCAATTAGCAGCTCTAAAACAGATCTGGGAGAGAAACGTGGGCTTGTCCCCAGGTGGCAGGGCCATCGGCTCGGCACAGAGGGGTTTCCAGCCTGTGCTCGAGCAGTGGGCTGCCTGTGGGTACGAGGTGCAAGTGTACCGGGCAGACAGTGTACAGGTGCATACACAGGGCCCCCCGGTAACAGAAATAGCCCTCAGTTTCCTATGTATCTGTCAGATTTTAAAGTGAAATATTTACACATGTAAAAGCCATGGGGTGAGGCAAATACTTCCATATTTACTTAGATCATTTTCTTAAAATAAAATTATCAGTTAAAAAAAAAGTAAAAGTGACACATAGTGCATGGGGCGGCCGCAGCGTACCTTCCCAGATCTGGGCCCGGCCTCGCCCACGAGAAGGCAGAAACAGAGTTCTCTTGAGGCTTATTTGCAACCCAGCATCTCCCCTCACTAACGAGCCTGATGCCAAAAACCACTCTCAACGTAGGTTATTCTATTTACATAGTAGCTGTATATATCCAGATATTTTATTTAAAATGTTAACAAATTCTTCTGACCTTGGAAGAAAAAAATCCCGAAAAACTTCCGTCGAGGGCTTTAGTGGGGAAAGAGCGAGGAGAGGACCGCGTCCTCTGGCCCGTCTTTAACAAGCTCCTGAGTAAACTCCCAGCGTGGGCTCGTCACCAGCGGAGGAAAAGCTGCAGCAAAATACATCTTTCTCAGGATTAATAAAAACCAGTCAAAGGCTAATACTTCGTTCATCTTTCTAATCATTTGCACAAAATTTGGTCCACTTCTTCATTTACCAGTCAAGTTCTCCTAAAATAAAAAGACAAAACTATACCTTTGGTTACAGCGTAAACGCTTTTGGTATCAGAGCTGGTGCCTTTGTTTTGCTTTTCAGGTAGATTTCTCATTATCTTCACCGATCTTCTGAACCCGTGAATACTTTTTGCACGAAGATTTAAAGCAGCCAGGAGGCCAGGAGAGGGGCCAGGAAAAGCAGCAAGGAATTGAGCCTTGTACGTTTTTCTCAAAAAAATAAAAGATGGGGAACCACCATGCTCGAGACAAGAAGTTAGTCTGTGAAGAGACCTTCAAGTTCTGTAAAAGGCAGGAAAAAAGTAAAATGAGGCATATCTTTCATGATTTGCATCCTAATTTTTTTCTTAATTAAACCGTCATTCGTTGTAACGTAGCAGAGAAAGTAGTGGAATCTGGATCACGAGGCAGAAACTCTTCGTGCCTCTTCCCTAACTCTGACATGACTGTCCCAAATGCCCTTTCTCCTCTCTCTTGGTGGCTCCAGCCATTTCTTCTGCCTGCACCTCTAGTAAGAGCGGAGACTCAGGAGCGAATGTGAGCTATCCACAAGGAACGATGCTCAGGATGTGTGAGTGGTCAGATCTATGGCCAAGGAAGATGGAAGAGGAAAAGGAGGGCCGACAAGGGTGCATATTTCAGAGGAAAGAGGAAAAGTTTGGTTCAGTGGCGTCACTAGATGTCTAGATGGAAGTCTAAGAAGGAAGATGGCAACAGGAGACTACAAAATAGGAAACAGAGCTACAAAGACAAGGAAATCCCAGAAAAGGCATTTATTAGTGGACAGCACTACGTGAGAGTTGGATTTAGATCCTTTGGGAAAACGCTATTTCAATCCCTCACAAATTCTCCAAACATTATATGCATCAGACAACATGGCAAGACTATCCAAAGATAAGTAAGTCACGGTACACTGACTCACTCTATTACACCAAGGACGTACACCAAGGCCAGGAAAACTCAGAGAAGGAGAGGAATCATTCCATTTCGGGACGAGAGGAAGAGAGCAGCAGTTAGGGAAGGCTTCCCAGAAGAGGTGGCATTGGATCGAGCTCTTTTCAGAATGAATAGGTGAGGAAACAAGGGTCATCCAGGAACAGGAGGCAGCAGAAACAAATAAGGAAGGATAAGAAGGGAAGGCAGAGAGCACAGCACCACCAAGACACGCCCCAGATCCAGGAACTCACAGTTACTCATTTCGCCTGACTTTTTCAAATAGTTGCCATCTTTTCCTCAAAATTAAGTTCTTTGAGGGCAGGGAGTGTCTTACATAGCTGCACCACAACGCTTCTAGAGAAGGTTCCTAAATTTTAATTTCCCGTATACACTACTTCAACTCTCGCATAAATAGTTGAATTAGTACAACACTGCTAATTATAAAGCATCTTTATCCTTAAATGTCATGCATATTTGTGACCTTCTTTCTTTCTTCTTCTCCCCACAGCCCCAGTACATAGTTGTATGTTCCAGTTCTAAGTCCTTCTAGTTCTTGTCTGTGGGACGCCACCACAGTGTGGCTTGACGAGTGGTGTGTAGGTCTGCACCCAGGATCTGAACTGGTGAACCCCAGGCTGCTGAAGCAGAGCGTGGGAGCTTAACCACTATGCCACTGGGCTGGCCTCTATCATGTTCTTTATTTTAAGAAGCAGTAATTGGATATAAGTATAAGTGAATTCGCCTAAACCATACAATTGGGTGGCAAGAGCAGTTACTCCCATTAATCTCTCTAAAACCCTGCTATATGAAAAGGGGTCCACTGCGTTCAAAGAAAAGAAATTATCCAAGGACAATTTCACTGCTCTCACCTTTTCATTGGCCATTGAGTGGTACCACCAGAAGAGCCGTGTTGTGACATAGTAAGCAACGATCACATCGACAGTATAGTGTTCATGTGCTACAAGAATGCAGATGATCCCGGCAGCACTCAGCAGCCAGCAGATTAGATGGTACCACCAGAAGTGACGAGGCGAATCTGGACGGGAGAAGAATCACAGAATTAATAAGATTGCCTGAAAGGAATTTAATGGTTACAGCCTAACCTGATGACCTTAAGCAGAATAATCTAGGACCAGGAAGTCAAGGGAAGGAGAAAACTGATAACCCAAACGAGTCACCATGAACTGCCCAGTATTTGCTCAGGTAGGAAGGGGGAAGGGGACCACTGGCGGCAGGTAACAGTCACTCACTGGGGAGGCTGGCGACACTAGACACGCCTGGCCTTGCCCACTGCTAAGCTGCTCAACAAGGAGGACAGAATTGTTTATTAGGTTGGTTGGAATCGGCTCAGACTGGCTCTCATAAGGGACCCTACTGGAAAGGAAAACAGTAGGGGTCAGAAGACAAGGTAGTTGTCTATGAAAATGGGGAAAATGAGAAAGCAGGAGCAATTTCAGGTCTTATATAAACTTTGATTTCTCCAGGGGGAGAAAAATGGCATTGTGGCTGGCAATATTTTGATTCTCAGCAATTGTACACAGAGCTTTATAACAGCAACTATAAAACACTCCCAATGAAAAGCTTAGGATTCTTGCCCATTCGCTTATGGATTTCAGCCTTCCCACTGAGGCTCCCTACACTGATCGGTGGTGAGAGAGAACGAGAGCACTCACCAGGCTAAATGCGATCCTACACCCACGGCCTCCCCAGCAGTGACAGTGCCACGGCATGAACAGGACCAGAGTCCACTGCTAGTAACGTTGTCTTTTTTTCCTATTTTAAAGCTTTCTTAGCTCATAATCAAAGTTAATGATCTAAGAAACTGAAATTCATTTCGTATTTAACTGTGTTTACATTTATAGTGATATTTACTTTCAAGTGTTGAAGAATGGTTGAATAGCAAAAGGATCCATTTTCAGAACTTTAGATGAAATATCAAATCGGGTATCCTTCAAATAAAAAATATTTTTTGGTAAAATAGCTGTTGCTCTTTTGGTCTCAAGTGGAACAGTAAGACAATAAACCTGTATTTGCATTTGAAAGTCTGATTTTCTAATTCTAAATGTGCAATTCATTATTTCTCATTTGGTCCATGCTGCCACTACGTTCTGGCAGATAACTCACAGAATCCTAGAACTTTAAAGCTGAGAGAGGCCCTACTGTTGTAGCCTGAGGGGCCAGACCCCGTCCTGTAACTGTTCTGTTAGGCTCCAAATGTTAAAAATTGAACTAACACTTAGCCACCTGGAGATTTCACTAAATATGCATTCTCCAGCACCACAGACCTCACCCCTCTCTAAAGTCTCACACCAACCCTGATTCCCTTGCTTATGAGTCATGTGGTATTTACCTTAAAAGTTCAAAATGTTCGGCGAACCAGAACTATTTTTATTTGTTTATCCACAAGAAGCAAAGCCAAAGGCAGTAAGGAGTGAGAAGGTGGCCTGATGGTCATTTTACTACCAGGGGAATTGAAAACGAGGTTTAAGGATGGCTGGAAACACTAGCACAGCTCTCCGGTAAAAACGCTTCCCCTTTAGGCTACCACACTGGTGCTCATTAACTGAGAACACTGGCTGACCCAAAGAAAAGATTTAATAGAAACTATTTTGGGATGAAAACAGCAAAATGGTAATCCTCTGCTCTCTCATTTTACCCATAGAGATAACACTGAGCTAAAAGATGATGACAAGTACTAATAACTCTACTGTCTGTGGGGGATCCTGCCCCAAGCATCACTGAAGAACAGACACCACGGACTTTACGTGGCAGCAAGGTAAAAAGAAATAGTTCTCTCAACTGGCAAGGCTCTTGGTCCTTCAGGTACGCTGCTTTCTCAGGCTAATTTTATAAGGAACGTAGGCCCCAGTGGTAACATCTGCACAACTGTGCAAAGCCCTCTCCTGTGAACCCGCCAAATCATCCTGGTCCCATGTTCTCATGATGAAATTCAAATCTACTCATGACAACGGAGCAAACAAGGAAAGAGTCCAAACTGATCAAAGGCAGGAAAGCAAAAACTACATAAATGATGCATCTAATTCTAGAAGCCGACTCTTCACAGAAACCACTGGAACCAGTGCTGACTCAGAACAGTAAGACACGGTATAATTTAGAAGGCGATTGTTTCTCCTAATTGCATAGGAAATGGGTATAAACATGGAATGCCCTGTTTATGCCCAGAATTGACTCTAAAGTGGAGTCTGTAGTAAGCATTACAGATTTGCCATTTTATTTCTCACCAAAGATTGGAAAAACCAGAATGCAATTCTTTCCCTGACATATATGTAAACTTACACAATTTTAAAATCCTCAAGCAAAAATCAGGTCTTGGGAAGAAAATGTGTCTACATAGTGCACTGTCTTCATTAAAGGACAGAAGGAGTCACAGGTGGCCCTGCCATGAGGTGAAACAAAGAACCGGAACAAGCAATACACCCAGACAGTTCCCGGGCATCTGTAACATCAGAAAACTTGAGTTTCCAAAAATCCTCGACAGCCCAGAAATTAATAGCGTGGCCTCTGGATTGTCCTGCTTGAGTCTGAATGCCACATCCCCCAATTCCCACTGTGCCCGTGGCCGGCTCACTATCTCCACACTTAAGCGTCCTCTCTGACAAATGGGGCTAATCAGGGTCTCCCTCCTAGGGTGGCTGCAGGATCAATGAGCTCACTTGCATCAAGGGCTTACAACAGCTCCTGGCACAGAGTAAGTACTATGTCTATTTGCTGGTACTGTTAATGTCACTTGGTCTTCGGTTATTTTATAAAGCTGACTCTCAGTTCCCTGGGTGTCTTCTCTTCATCACTCTATGGTTTTCAATCTCCAGGGGCTTTGCTTGACGTGTAAGCCCTGCCCGTCCCCATCCTCATCAAGCGTCTTATGATCCTCAGATGAGAGAGATGATCCCACAACTCAAACACACCTCTGCACTGGGAGCGATTGCTCTTCCACACAGATGGAACCTTCCTCAGCAAAAGTTCGAGTCAGAAGCACACAGAGCACAAATCCTCCAGCCACTCCCCACAACCAGTAACTAGGTATTCGAAATGTAAGGAAGAGACCCCGGGGCAGAGACAGACCTGGGTTCCTCCCCAGCGCCACCTCCCAAATAGCACGAGAGTAGAAACAAGGGGAGAGGTGCAGAAGGCCACCCTGTGCCTTGAAGTCACGTAGGGTGAAGGCCGCACACTTAACACGCTGCTCCCCACTCCAAGTTCCTATGTAGCATTTACAAAGGAAACAACTTGGAAGCTATACAATTCTTACCCAAAAAGACTCTACCTCCTTTACTAGAGAGAATCTCAACTCTGTCATATTACCCTCAAAGCAGAACTTAAGCCTAAAACCCCGGGTGACCTATGGTGCAAGAACTCACTTTGACCCCACTGGAAGGTAAACCTTGGTGGCTACACCTGTTCGGATGGATGACAGCCAGGAGAGGACAGAAGAGGCGGCAGGACAGAGAAGGGGCCCGCCTTCTGCTGGTCTCTGCAGAAAGAGCTCCTTTGCAACACGCCAGGTAAGTGAAGAGAACTGAGATCAACCTCGGAAAACACGGGCATGGGGCATCTCTGAACTAAGGATGAAGGTTAACCCGGACCAGCTTTGCAAAATGGAGGGAGAAGCGTCAGCACTTCAAAAGGATTTTGAGAAGATGGACCTACGTGTATAAACCTCAGAAGTCTACAAGAAGGGGATCTGCCAGGCAGCTAGAACCAAATACAGCCGCACGATGAACAAGACATTGTTCCCGCCACCGAAGCTGCTGGACGCACCAGGATGCCTTACAGTGGGAACTGAGTGTGTGAGTATGGAAAGACATCTCTTCACAGTCTGGCCTCCTTGTTGCTTCTAAGAAGAAAATGACCAGTATTGGCAAAGTGTTCCTCCCATGAAGACGCCTATGAAAGCATAGAAGGCAGTGGGAAAATGATGAAACTGCAATAAAGTGGGACAAGGAAACGCTTTAAAAGGGAGAAAACAATTATCTGGAATGATGGAACGGAAGTTTCACAGAACGCAAGTTCATTCAAAAGTCCTTTACATTTGGCTTTAGAGCACACTGATTCTTGTTGCAATAAAGTCAACAGTTGTTGTTCTTAGTTCTAACATTGAAACAGCTTTTCACACCTCGAGAAGTACTAACCAAGGAGGGAGACCTTCGGGAGGCATGCTCCACGTTTGAGAGAAGCCAGGGCTGGTTCTAAGCCTTCAGTGCTCCCATCACACGTGACTAGTTGAAGTGACTTAACCCCCCACACGTATGTCTCTTTCACAGCTAGAATTCCAACAGAATCAGGGCTCCCAGCAGTTTCGGGGCCTTGGGATCCCTCCCACTACAGCAAACGATCAAGTGGGAATGAGTTATCACTTACATTCTTTGATGAACAAATAAGTTAGTGTCAGCACAACCGTGTGACCGCTGAAGAGGAAGTCTCCGCACAAGATATGCGATCCAGTTATGGACAGTCCCCCGCCAGAAATCAACCGCAGAATCCGCTGCACTTTCGCCTGGGAGTCTCCGTTGAGCTGAGTGACACGAGAAGATCAGGAAGAGAATTTACAAGCTGATAAAATCATATTTCAGCCTAATTTGTGTGATACTCAGAAACGTCACCAGGTTGCGATTTTTTTTCTTTTTCACTTAAAAAGTCAAAAAGAATGCAATGGGGAAGCTCCTCAAGCTGGGTTTTATGCACTGTATTGGCGAGTTTTAGTGACACATTTTAAATTATTCAGTATGTTACTAATAATATGTTTTGGTGGTGTTGTGTCCTTGGGCAAAGCTTTTAAAAATATTAATAACCAATGACTTCACCACAGTTATGCACTAAAAGATGAAAGCCACTTTCTTTCCCCTTTGCAGAGGAAGTCAGGGCTTCCAGGGTCAATATTTGATTCAGCTGCATACCACGTTACTGAGATTCCACAGTGGACGCGTACCTTGCGTTCAGTGGGCAGCCTATAGCTGTACTAACATCTGATCAAAACACTTACAGTCAAAAAGTGAGCTGCAACACATTACATAATTGAAATAGGTTGGAAAATGATGTATTAGGGATGTGCTGGCAGCTTTAAAAATGGAAAAACTGAAATGGAAACATGGAAAAAGCGTTGATCAGGAAAAACAACCCTCAAAGAAATAACCCATGTGCTGTGGCAGAGGGTCAGGAGGGAGCTCCCTTGAAAGAGGGTTAGAAGGCCCTCAAAGCCATCATGATGACATGGGAAACATGATGGGCGAGGGCAGGAGTGGAAGCAATAGTCAAAAGTTTACATCCGATTAAAATTTAAGCGAATAGGAAGGAGGAGTGGACTGAGTTTGTCAAAATGGTAGGTGTGGAAAAGTGGAATACTGAAATGTTGCGGGCCAGCTGGAGGGCTGCAGATCAGCGTAGTATCAAGTGAGTTGGCTTAGAAAATCAAAGAACAATACTCAGAAATAAGATCAAGTGACAGAACGCATGAGAACAGAAATATAGAAGAGAATTAATGACCATTCATTTGGGACGCGGGGGACAGCTGAAGGACATGCTGCCTTTTATACTCAGTGATGATCCTTCTGGGCAACTGGCCCCTGAAGCCCAGCCCGCCCAGCCATGATAGTGGTTAAACTGTTTCGTGGGGAAGACGGCAGTGTCTTGTCCAAGTGGATGCATGGTGGTGAAGGAGGGTAAGATGTGTAGAGATGGACGGGAAGAGAGTCAAGGAGTAGAGAAAGTGTCAGCCTCCAAAGCACGGGGAAAACCACTCTGACCAGTACAACAAGGAACCGGGGCAGGATTCCTTGCCTAAAACATCCATATCAGGGTGCCTAGAACTTTCCCAATTAAAAGAGTCTTACGGATCTGGAAAGCTTTCTGGAATTCGGGTGACCCTTGTCAAAAAGCAAACACACCATGACTGGTTGGCAGTTGAGAATAAGGCTGTACAACAGAAAATGACGGAAAGCAGGATTAGAGGGCAAGGTGAGAAACTGGAGGCTATGAAGAAACTTGACCTTCTTCAAAAGTTTGCTTAGGGCAAGCCCAGGTGGCAAAAACCAAGAGAATGTAAGTATTTTATCAAGAGCTGACAGTCCTTAAAGCAAACATGCCAAGTAACAGGCGATCCTGCCCTGAGAAGACAGGAGATAGAGGGCAGCCTGGGACCCACACCGAGGGAAGGACTCTGACAGAGCTGCAGGGGCGTTTCAGGTGTCCCCCAGCAAGGAAGGACTTGCCGGCTCCACACGCTAGTGCGACATGCCCTTGTTGTGGGGACAGACTCTAGCCCTGCGCTCCATCAGACCACCCACAGCACTTCAGGAACGTCTTGTCACGCGGCTAGTAGAAACAACCGTCAACACTGAGATCAAACAGAAAGGTACAGACACTCTGCCTGGCCATCGTGTTCTGGTTTAAAAGGATGCCTTATTCTTCATTCCAAAACCATCATAATGTTTTATCCACTCACCCATCCTGACTCAATACCGTAATTTTCTAAGGGCAGAGACGCTTAAAGCCATCAGTCCCTTTAAGACTCAGGGTGACATGGAGCAAAGGTATACACACAGAGGAGCTACCCCGAGCCCCATGCTTTCTCTTCCCCTCTTTTGTCAGGAGGCCTCTGACAGCCGCTGACAGGGTATGCCATCTCAGACCAAAGGACTCTCTCCATCCCTCAGTCCTGCCCCTGCTGTCCTGAGACGTCAGATCATGCTCAGTATAAACGTCAGCAGAACCTCAGGAGAGGAAGAAAAGAGGAGGGCAGAAGGCAAGCTGAGCAAGGGGACAACAGTGAGAGTCAGGATTAACAGATTGTTTCCAGTTCTGTTCTGGTTCACTGGGACCACCACCCCCACTCCTGTCACCCTTATCCTATATCCTGTTAATCCCCTCATTCTTCACACCCTCTCTATGCCATTAACGCAGCTGTAGGAAAGCAGGAGAAACAGCTGTCACAGTGGCCAAAGCAGACAGGGCCCCGGTGCTCTAGGGTTCCTCCAACTGTGACCTCCACACACCAGTTCCCAAAAAGTAAACCAGGCACAAGAGTCCAACGTGGCTGCTGCCAAACCAGAAGCCTTACCATCCACACTGCCCCTTCAATTAAGAAGAGAAGCCCTTTGGACATCGATGGCCAGGGTGAGGCAAGCTTTCTCAGGGGAAGGAATGCAGCAGTGTCGGCCCAACATTCCTGAATGTGGCAAAATGGGTTTAAAAAGCTAAATCATTTCACATGAGTCCTAATAACTGGGCCAAAATTTAAACACACTTTTCAGAACACAAACGTTGTGTCTTAAGCTAAAGCTTGGGTTGGTGAGTTGAAGCAAGTTGTAAGCAAAAGACCTAAAGTGAACCATGGGACATAAGGGAGGAGGCAGCTGGAAAACCGAAGGCCAAGGATTTCACCAGGGACTGTCCCCGCAATGGCCCTTGTGGTGGTCGCATCCAGGGAGGGCAAGTTGACTTAGGCCCATGACTAGGTCTGACCCCCTCCCACAGCGCGTGGTTTCAGTATACACATGCTGTTATTGCTCATAGTCACCAAGGGTGTTCTACAGAGTCAGCAACAAAGGAGACGAGGAGCCTATCCAACAGCCTATAACCACAGACATCTGAGGAGCGCTCACGGCACTGAGAGCGCAGTTCTGACTCCTCCAACGCCACGTCACCTCTAGTCAAACAGAGTGGTTTGTGGTGGTTTTACTGAACACGACTCAGCACCTATAGCCCGCTTCTGCGTCAGGAAGAGGTCCTGACGACTGAACATGGGAGCCGATTAGTAAGGATGCCACTACAGCGTCTGTCGTGAGTATTTGTAGCTCGGTTATCTAGGGGTATGTTTACTCCTGTGGCTTCCGAAAATTGCAACTCTTCCACGGAGGATGACCTGTAATTTACTTTCTGTCTGTGATCACAGTGATTCATCCCTGCAAACCTACCCATTACTCGGATGGGCTTGCCTTCTCTTCTGTGGCCATTTCTTCATTTAACACATTGCAATAACTCCTTAGAAGTGTTTATTATGCTTTTGAACTTCTCCCATGCCTTAAATTGGTTTCACTAAAAATCAGCCAATGTTCAAATTCAATATGGACCCTGTTTTAACCACAGATACTTTCTGCTTTGATGGCTTTGGGAAACTACTGCTTCTCCAAATTACACCTGTATTTGGTGAGGGAGACGGTCGACTTCTTCGGAATGACTCTATTCTCCTTCCACTCCGGACATCTGCTCGGCGTTCAGTAAAATATGTTAGATGTCATTCCCTTGTCCAGAAAGCACATGATCTGCAAGTTTCCTTTTTTATAAACCAGAGCACACAGGGGTCTAAGATGATTAACAGCTGTCTCAAGAAATGACTCTACCTGGAGAAACTACAATTTTGCTTGTGACGGTTTCAGCGTCCATTCTCACAGCAAAAGGCCACTCATCTTTTCAATTGCTAAAAACTTTGGGGTCATCCTTGACTTCTTTCTCTTAAACCCATGTCCAACTTATTAGTACATCTTGTTGGCCCTACTTTCAAAATGCATCCTGAACTGAACATCTCAGTTCCGCTGCCACCACTGAGGTTCAAGTTCCTACAGCAGGCCACAAGGCCCTACAGGATCTGCAGCTGCACCTCCTCGAAACTTCACAACTCTATTCAGCCACACTGGCCTCCTGCTCTCCCCTGAACCCACTGTGACTAAGCCGCTTCCTTGGCCTGGAGCTCTCACCCCATCCACGTGGCTCACTCCTCATCTTGGTTCCTGCCCAGAGGCTTTCTCATTAAAGAAGCCTTTCTGACCTCACCATAAAAGAGCCTCCACCCTCAGCGTCCCGTTCACCTCACTCGGTCTTCCTGTTCTTCATCTGACAGCACCCGACTTACGCCATGTGACAAGCCATGAGTTTTACTTATCAGTTATCATCCCTCAATAGAATATAAGCTCGAAGAGGATAAGGACTTTGTTTGGGTCGTTGCCATTCCTACAGTGCCTGGTGCACAACAGGAGCTTCATGACTGTAGAGTGAATGCATGAAAGAGTAAGTGAGAGGGCAAGAGGGCAAAGGGTCAAACACTTCATTGTAACTCTCAGTGAGCAGAAAATGAAGTTTTTATGGACAAAGATATACATTTTATGAACGTTTTAATTTCTTCCCAAAAGATCTAAAGAAAAACAAAATATGCTAGATTTCAGTTAACACATATGCAAATGTCTAGAAGAATGTAAAGCCAGCCCTGGTGGTCTAGTGGTTAAGAGTGGGCGCTCCTGGTTTTGTTTCCTGATCAGGGAACCACACCACCCGTCTATCGGTTGTCACACTGTGGTGGCTGCGTGTTGCTCTGATGCTGACAGCTGTGCTAGTGGAATTTCAAATACCAGCAGGGTCACCCATGGTGGACAGGTTTCACTGGAGCTTCCAGACTAGACAGACTAGGAAGAAGGACCTGAGCCACTTCCTCAAAAAAAAACTGGCCATGAAAACCCTGTGAACAGCAGAGGAGCACTGTCTGAAACAGTGCTGGAAGGTGAGCGGATGGAAAGACAGGCAGGGCTCCCTGTGCTGTCCACAGGGGCGCTGGGAGTCGGAACCCACTGGACAGCGCTAACAAACAATGAGAGTGCATACTAGAGAGCGGGTGTCCAACAAGTGCTTGCTTGGTTTCCTCTAAATGGTTAGGAGAGGGGCTTACCTTCGGAGCGCACTGGAAATGCATTCCGGGCACAGGCAGAGTAGTGACGTACATGGTAACACAGCGATACAGGTATAAAGTTCCAATGATAAAAAAGAATCTGCGCCCCACTATTGACCTAAAGGAAAAACAGGCACGGGAACAAATAAGTTCACTGGTTGTTTCTGTTCCTAACGCAATATAAAGCAATGTTTAACAGAATAAAGAAGGATTAACACAGAATGACATTAACAGACCAGCTTCCCAGTCAAAGGCGTGTTTGTGAGCTGCCCATCCCCACCATCCCACGGAGAGGCTGCCCTGCCGCTTTCAGCAATGAGACTCACACGCTGCAACGAACGAGGGCTGTGGGGGGCGGGGAGTGAAAGCAGACTAAGGCTTCTAGATAACCAGCCCTCCTAAAAAGGCACTCTTTGCCGGAGAACTCAATGAACCCCTCGATGTTGTCAGTCAACTGGCTGCGTTTTAAAATCCTCTCTTGAGAATGTGTCAAAGGTATAAGCGAGCACAGTCTCAAAGGAATCAACTAATGAGCTAAGGTGATACGACACAGAGGAAACGGGATGACTCATTTAACCTAAGTGACATGAGCAAGGTTTATTTGGGGACCATCCAAAAGTATTCTGACAACTTGTCCATGAGCTGTTTTGTCTCTGATATATAGATTTTTCAGAGAATTATATTTCGAAGATGTCCAAAGTGTCCTCATGTGTTTAAAGACATTTAAAGTGAGGCTGTAAGCTGATTAGTTTACCCTTATTTTATTCAATCTTTATCAGAAAAGGCAAAAACACCCCACCCCACAAGTCCTCTTCCATTTTATACTTTTGGGTGGAGACAGCCGTTTGACTGACATCAGTCCCTGCCCTTTGGCCCCGAGGCCTCAGGCTGAGGCAGCGCCCCGGGGCTGACTCCGAGCACATGGTCCTCAGTGTGGGGAGGGCTCTGCCCAGGTGCATCCCTGCCCGTGGGTCCCTGAGTGGGCATGGGGGCTTCCGAGAGGCCTCACTTCCAGCTGGAGATGGCAACTCCTTTTCTGTTGTGTAGTTAGGGGACGAGTCTATGAACTCTGGGCTCTGGGGACTAGAGAAGGGGGGATCCGTAAAGCCCTGGAATTGCCAGCTGTAACTTCCCCAGCTCACCAACTACAGCACTCCAGGCCTCCCGTTCTCAGAGCTCTCAAACTTTCAAACTAGTACTGATCAAAGACTTCAGGCATGTGGCGTGTTTTAAGTTTTCTCCAAGACTGTGGCCTGACGTGGACTGAGGCCTAATTCAGGTAACTGTTGGGACTTCTCATTTAAAGAATTATGCACAAATCTAATTTTAGCTGCCTGGCTCCAGTAGCTATTTTAAGAAGATTCCAGGGTTTCTGGGGACAAAATATAGAGAGGAACGCCACCTGGACTAGCAGATGAAAGCATTTATTTGTTGCAAGGCATTCCTCTCAAAGGCCTGCTACTCTAGCTCTGCCTTTTCTAGAACCGAAAAAGAACGGGTGATAAACAGAGCTGAGTCTCTCCATTTGGTTAAGAGAAAAACAATTCACCCCTTGATTCACCCCCCGGTCCCAGAGGAGTGTTCGCTTGCGCTCCATGCTGTCAGACGAGGCGAAGGAGTGAGGAGGAAGTATGTTAGTTCTGTTCAGTCCAGCACTGAGCTCAGCCGTACTCAGAACAGAAAACTAACTTAGAAGGTGAAACATGTACTCTGCAGCCTTATTTAGAAAAACAGCCACTGCTAATGACTTTTTTTTTTTTTTTTTTTTTTTTTTTTTTAAAGATTTTATTTTTTCCTTTTTCTCCCCAAAGCCCCCCGGTACATAGTTGTGTATTCTTCGTTGTGGGTTCCTCTAGTTGTGGCATGTGGGACGCTGCCTCAGCGTGGTCTGACGAGCAGTGCCATGTCCGCGCCCAGGATTCGAACCGACGAAACACTGGGCCACCTGCAGTGGAGCGCGCGAACTTAACCACTCGGCCACGGGGCCAGCCCCGACTAATGACTTTTTTTCCATAGCTTTGAAGGTGCTTTTAAAAGAGAGAGAGCAAGTAGGATTTCTCATTCAGCTGGAATGTTCAAAACAGGTTATAAAAATTACTCTGCTAGTTACTAAAATATAAGACCCAGTTCTACCTCAAAAGTAAAAAAGAAAATTAGTGTGATTTCCCCAACAAGTTTTGGATGATGGGTTGTGTGGCCAGCTGTGTGACCCCAAGTTTTGCCATGGTGAAATCTCAGGCGGCAGTGGACAGGCAGTGAACAGCAACTCTCTGGATGGAGAGGCAAAGAAACAGACTGTACTTAGGGCAGGAGAAGCTCCTCACCAGACGCTTGAAACTTTCCCTCTTCACACACACGTGAATAAAACGTTGCTCTAAATTAAAGGAGAAAGCAAACGTCTTTGGCCCAAGGAGGCTCTCTTGTATTCAGTGTCAATTCCAGACACTAAAAAGAAAAATGCTAAAGTTCAACACATTTCTTGCTTTTAGCATAAAGATGCCATAACCAACAACTTCAGCAGCAGAAAGTTCCCATACTAAGTAAAAGACAATTGATAGCTATGTCTCTACACATATTAAGGAAAATGCTGAGGAATGACTTCAGTTTATGGAATAAGTTTTCAAAACTGCAAACTTGCACTTGGGGAATTCTTTAGCAAACATAAATCGAATTCGTCTAATCTCAAAGCAACAACGAACTGAAAGAACAATATAGCATAAATTCTCTTCTAAAAATGATCTTGGGGCATTAATGCTGAAATCCTATTGACTTTGAATTTTTGAATTTTATCGACTAAGCCTACATTACATTTTCAAAAGCCTCAGTTTATGGGCAATGTTTTGATCAAACATATTTTAGTGATTTAATTACTAAAATCTAAGTAGAGAACAAACATCTGAATGATGAGTGAGAGGAAAACGGGAACTGCAGGGCCTTATCTTTTACGGACCAGCACTCAGAATTCACCGGGAAGCAAAAATACCCACTTCAGAGCTACGTCCTATTTTTACGTGTCTTCAAAGCCAGAGCACCTGGCTTCCTACTTCCTGACTCCTGCTGTTCCAAAGTGGGGAGACGGAAACCAGTGAACTGAGAGCTCCTTTGTGGTGCCACAGGGAAACCAGACAGCACGTTTACTTTAGAAATCTGAAACCAAAACCGCAAGGACCCATTTCTAAATTCAGTTTCTTAAACAAACCCTGGAGACCGGATTGCCAATAGGCAAAAGGAAAAGAAACGTAAAATCTGAGAACTCCTGATCAGAAGCGAACCTCAACACATGCTATAGACTGTGGGCCCACGTAGTCATCATATTATGAGCAATGGAGGAAGCAGCTCCCTGGCCAACTCCTTCCACGCCCACCAAGAGCCTATAATACACGAGAAGTCAGTGTCACTCCTTTCCAAGCCTCCTGCTTTATCACACAAGTAGCACAGCGCCAAGGTGCGTGAAATCAGGAACTACACCTTCAATCATAAACTGAATCAGCCGCCACAGCACTTCTGTACATTCCTACACAGCTGCTCAGTATGTGCTTCTTGAATAGTGACTGGATTTGCTCAATGTGGTAGAGCTTTCTATTGCTTCCTTTCATCAAATGCCTGGGTAAGACCGAATTTACCAGATAAAACCAAGAACGTTGTTTCAATTACATATCTTCTCAGTTAAATACACAGTAGCGGCGAACCCAAAAAACACCTTAGACCTACTTACTTGTATCTCAGAAACAGCCACTGGGTGATCCATAATCCAACTAATATAATCCCATTTATTTCTGATACAGAAAATGCCCATTTCACCCGATCAATGTAATCAAAAAACTTGTCTGGGAGTGGAGGGCTGAGCTCCTTGGGAGGGACCCTCTCGTGTACAACTGTGATCATGACGGTTGTCAGGACGAGGTTGAAAAGTGCGTACACAAAGGCAATGCCTGTTTTCCACCACTCAAGGGGATATTTGCTCCTTGAGTCAGTGGGCATGGCAATTTGGATGTAGTCCGGGTACTTTTTGGCACCTTTCCGCAGCCCATTGGACAAGCTCTTAGGTTTACTGTTGCCATTTTTGTTTTCCTCTTCAGCAGGTTCTGCAGGTCTTGTGTAAGTGTTTGCAGGATCGTTGGTTTGATTTTCTATGTGTTCTTCAAGTTTTGCTGTTTCTATGATATCCATTGTCCCCAGTCTTCAAATCAAAAGGGAGATGGGAAAGTTCTTGTTCTTGGTGGAAACTTAACTTTTTTTAATCCTTCTATTTCCAAGATCAACATGGATTCTTACAACTGATTCTGTTTTCTAGCACAAAACAGAGAAGGTGGTCAACCGATTATCGTTCCTGCCATGCATCTCTGCTGTACATTCACCACCTTCAGGAAAGGAAGCCAACTCTCTTTCCCCAAAAGATGTTAGTACCCCACCTGTAAAAACAAAACAAAAGTATGTTCAGAAACTGTGCTCGTCCAATTGCCAACCATCCAAAAGAAAAACATTATCAAAATAAGGAAACAAATACCAGAGCCATTTGCTTTATAAATATATCGTCAGAACATAGTTAAAGCTGCTGAGATGGAGTTTATTTATAAAATATTGAATTGTTTTCTTTTGGAATTCTTGTCTTTTTGAGCTGGAGTCAGTATAAATAGGAACATTTTAGAAATCAATTCCTTTTAAGTTTCTTTAACTAAAAGTCAGGACCCAACATTACAAACACTGCACCAGACGCTGCTGCTTGTTGCTAACCATGAAGTCATAATAAGCCAGAACCTCCCCTCGGGTCTCATCATTCCTTCCCAAGGCTGGACCTTTTCTACGAACCTTAAAGAAAGAATAGAAAACTGTGATGGGTTGCTCACATGCATTGAATAATTGTTACTCTCTGCACTTGTCAAAATAGTCAACTCTGTTTTCTTATTAAAAACTGGAGTCTTTTTAAGTGACCACTTTTAAGAAATGATCTAAGAACTATGCACTCATGATATTTGAAACGGCACTGCTTCAGTTTATCCTTTTATATTCAGAGATGCACATCATACAAGAGGAAAGCTGACAGCCTTCAAAGCAACACAGTGAAAAGATAAAGCCTTCGCCATGTCTCACTTAGGTAACAAATTCTACCTGTTACCTGGAGGATAAAATAATTTACTACGATCGACAAGGTGGATTAGTAACTAACAACATTTTGATGCAGCCACCACAATTTCTACCAAACAAGAGAAACTGGTCCCCAGAGGCCCCGCTCAGGCCCTTACCCACCACGACATCGAGGAGGACCGGGCGCCTTCGGCTTCAGCTCCACAGGCTCCAAAGAGCTAAGCCTGCTCCCCAGCCCGGGCGCCAGCACCAGCTCTTTTATACTTGCTGGCCACACGGCCCCAGCTGTTCTCAATTTAGGAAAGCAGTATTTTAGTCGTGCTGCAGAACCCAACCACCTGAAGAGGTTTGCAAACCTCGTAATTAGTCCCCACCCAGAGAACACTGCACAATTTAAGCATAATCCTTTGCATTTCAAAGGCTTCCCTTTCAGTAACTTAGAGAAAAAATAAGGGGGAGGAAAAACTCAAAGTGGTGACAGCTAAGCCTTTTTTAATGAAAGAAAAAAGAAGTTAACATGGCCCAGTCAATCCGAACAGGCGGTATCTGCGGACAGTGGTGAACGGCAAGGAGATCCACCACAAGTGTTCACTGTGCACCTCATGCCCCAGCGCTGAGGGCTACGCAGGGGTAATTAATTAAAAGGAGTGGAAACCAAAAATACAGTGACCTAAACATGGCCCCAGACCTGGCCGTCTAACTGAAGAGACAGAACTAGAACTGAATGGCACAGTGTAAAGGAAGGAGGCGGCGAGCACCAGGCAGGGCCGGAGCTTTCGAGCATCCCTGCTCCCCGGCAAGAGGCATCCCGAGAGGCGCCGTCCATTTTTGAGGAGGTGGAAGCAAGAGGACGGCGAGCCTGGCAGAGAAACGGAGGCTCGCCGGAGGATGGAGACGGGCTGAGAGGCATTGCTGAGGGTTTCGGACACCTCACCTTCCTCTTGTCCCTGTGAAGCCCCCAGCTGCTAAGATCAGAGCAGGATGAGAAAGGACCAGCGTCCTCTCTGGAAAACTGGACTGGCAGCTTTCTCCAGGACCCCAGAAGAGAGTCAGCATAATGAAGAAGGGCCTCAGGAAGATATTTTCAAAGGCAAACCTTCCATGGCCCGGATCACCACTTCTAACGGAGGTCCCAGAGCACTAGCTCGGCCATCGCCCTCTGTCTCCACCAGCTCCAGGCCATCCAACGCGTGGCATCCTGCCAACCTCCCATCCAAACTCCCTCCGACTTTACTCCCCCACATCTGCTCTGAGCTTGGGGTTTGTATGCAAAAGCGGCTGGTGACTCTGAAAGCCAGGGCCACCCGTGGACATACGGAGGCTCTTTATAAGGTAGCTACTTAGTTCTAGAACACAGAATGTAGAACAGAAGAAAGTACAATTAATTTCTTTTTTTTTTTTTTTAAAGGAAGCACTCAGTCACCCACCTCATGGGACAACGGTGAGAATGACTGAAATAATTAATCATGAAGCGCTTTGTGCTCCCAGGAGTAGGAGCACTCTGTGAGAGCCAAGCCCGTTTACTGTCATTAGTGGCAGGGTTGGTATTTTCCTTGGGATTTCATTAAGAAGATTAAATATACAAGGCACACTCATCATGTGTCAACCAATCATGAGACGCAGTGTTTCTCATCAAGGTGATGATTACAACATAGCCATTCCTATGCTGATCCTTTCCTACCGGTAAGTATCTGGGAAAATGACAAAAGCCACAATAGTTCCTCTTGGAGGATGGCAAGCCCATTAGTTCATTTGTCTATGCCAGAGCACAAAGCAGAGAAAAAGCTTTCCAAGTTCTCTTACATTGCAAAATACTGGAAGTTAACCTGGATGATATTTAAAAGTTAAACTAATCTTCCTTTTGTAGGCAAGTGCAAAACTCTGAAACTTTTAGTACACTGATGTTTTGTTAGTATTTTTTTTAGAATTAAGTATGATTTATTCCAGAAATGCAAGGAAGGTTTCAAATTAGAAAATTATTGTAATACAATACAAACATATATAAAAAGAAAAGACATGGTCATCTTCGGGGCTGGCCCCATGGCGTAGTGGTTAAGTTTGGCGCACTCTGTTTTGGCGGCCTGGGTTCGTGGGTTTGGGTCTCGGGCACAGACAAACACCACTCGTCAGCCATGCTGTCACGACAACTGACATATAAAGTGGAAGAAGATTGGCACCAATGTTAGCTCAGGGCCAATCTTCCTCAGCAAAAAACAAACGAAGATATGATGATCATCTTGAGTAAAGTCAAAAAGGCATTTGATAAAATTCAACATCCACCTGGATTGTTGGGAGAGAAAGTATTCAATAGGAGGAATAGAGGCGTATATAGCTACACTCTTTCAATGCCAATATCACATCGTAGCTGTGGAGTATGCATTCTAACATTTAGAGGAAAAGTCCTCCACTGGCGCTCCTGTCTTCATCCTTAAGGGAACTTTACAAGAAAACATATTGTTCTGCTTCTGTTTTATTGCCACCACCTCTATTATACCATAAAGTGTTTGGCATTACCATATTAATACAACATTAGTCATTTTCTCTTAACAATACCAACAGGCTTTTCCTGTAATTTGAAAAAATGATTCTAAGGTTTACCAGGGAGTAAAATGGGAGAAGCAGCAGAGGGTTTGCCCCGTAGATGTCAGACTACATTATATAACTAATATCAGGGAAATGGCAGCCAGTTATTCCATTTTGGGAGTTTATCCAAAGGAAATAAGGATGGATGTACACAAAATATTTCTACAAGTATGCTTTCAACACAGTTATTTATAAGAGAAAATTGGAAATGGCCTAGTATCCAACAACAGGGTATTGGTTAAATTATAATTAGATAAATTATAGTTATCTTAATATTATGAAACCTGTATTTTGATATAGTAACTGCACAAAACAGTGAGACAAGTATATAAATACCACATAAGACGGACACAGTATCCAATTAAGTTCACACTTAGATCTGAATAGGACATGTAGAATGTAAATCATTCACATCAGAGGTTATGGTTTACGAAAAACAGGTCAGGGGCCACATGGCAGATACTCAAGGCTATGAGAAAAGGTCCAAGTGTGACTCATGACCCCCCCACCCCATGAGGCTCCCACAGCAGTTCTGACCTGAGGCTCACTGATGGCATCCGCAGAGGACACTGAGCACAGACAGGAGCTCCTGCCCGAGGGCTTACAAACACTTTGCTAAATTTCTATGTTGGCCTGGTTGTGCATTTGCAGTAGATAAGAAGGTAAGATGTATTAAATGTGTAAGTATAGTTTAAAAATCAAGGAAACTTATCTAAGTTTATATATGGTTTGTAATATTTAAAAAATGTAATCTGTTGAAGACGGAAGTTAAACGTTGTTGAAAGAAAATATTTCTACTATTTACAAATTGGAATTATGAATAAAAATTATACAGTGTTTAAAGGCTTGAGAAAAACTAGGTCTTAAAACAGAACTGAATTAAATATCAATGGAAACAAAGAACTGACGAGTTTAACAGACACACACAATCTTTCTCAAATTTTAAAAAAGAAAACCCAGTTGTCACCATAAAGCCATTAAAAAGTCAAGTTGTAGAATCAAACAGCCACAATGTAACATTCTCAGCCGATGTTACTTATGTGCCAGGTACTGTGTTTTGTGTATTATCTAATTAATCCTCATAACAACCCTAGGAAATATTTCAAAGAAAAGAAATTGAGATAAAATGAGATGTCCAAGGTCGGGCAGGTAAGAAGTGGCACGGCGCCGATTTGAACCAGAAATCAGACCTCAGGAGCCCCTGTTCTTTTTTTGAGGAAGATTAGCCCTGAGTTAACATCTGCTGCCAATCCTCCTCTTTTTGCTGAGGAAGACTGGCCCTGAGCTAACATTCATGCCCATCTTCCTCTACTTTATACATGGGATACCTGCCACAGCAATTTTTATTCAGAAAACTGAACTTTTTTTCAGAAAGAATTTAATATGTAATTCCCATCTCTTACGGGGAGAAGAAGGGAGTCTGTTAAGTGTGTCTCTGTTACCCTATGTGCCATTTAATTATAGTTACTGTTACTAATAAATCACATTAAGTTCATAATATAGATATATCTCTATGTTAACAGGATCTAGTTTAACTAAATTTCATACCTATAAAATTTCTTCAGAGACCAGCACATCTCAACTTTTCCTTATTAACAGTGTTAGAGCTTAACTTGCTTGTACAAATTTTCCCACCTAAAACAGCTGTGCATTCACACACTTACAGATGCGAGGCGCCTTGAGAGTCGCAGCCTTCTATTCCAGAAGCACCCACAAAATTTGTTAAATATTTTTACTAAGAAGTTCTTGAAAACTGAAAAGGAGATCCCACTGCTTACTAAAAACTTATCACGGATATTTGTAAAATACTTTCCCAACAAAAGTAACGTGAAAAAGAGTCTGTTTTAGATCATTCTAGCTCTCACATCTGCATAGCTATGAGAGATCGAAATTAGGGAAAGGGGCAGGCTTGTAAGAGAGCTTAGTGACACTATTCTGAAAATGGATTGAGAAAAAAAATTTTTTTAATGTAAAAGATAGAATTGAAAAAGCAGCTACCAGTCATGCACTTCTGAACCTTGGGAGACAGATGCTTGGGTGGAGAAGAGAGACATTTTGATTCCTGGTACTTATTTATTATCCTGTGTTAAGGAAGATCGGACAACTTCAGCTCTGCATCCAGTTGTTACAGAAAGACACAGCCTATCAACAGTGGTTGCCTGTGGCTGCTGGTGGGAATGGAGAGTGACTGCAAATAGGCCAGAAGCTTCTTTCTGGGATGACAGAAATGTTCTAAATTAGATAGTGATGTGTTTGCACAATGCTGTAAATTTACTAAAAATGATTTAATTGTACCCTTAAAACAAATGAATTTTATAGGATGTAAGTTATAACTCAATTAAGCTGTTTTATTTAAAAAAAGCTATAGCCCACTGAGATACAGTTTCTAAATAATTAGAAAACCAAGGAATATTCCATGCTCTGTTCTCATCCTCCACGCTCACTTATCTCTGTCCAGTGTTGTGCTTATCAGCTGAGCGCTTCTTTAGCTGTGATTCTGAAATACACACTTCTAAGTTTTCTACAGACAAGATCAAGAACCAGCCAATAAAAAGCAAACTGTTTAATAAAACTTGTGTAAACTGTGCTCTAAAAATAAACTTGTAACTAAATAATAGGAAGTGATAAAAAACAGATGGATTTTCTAACAATTCATCAAAATCTAGGAGTTGGATTAAAAGGAAAAAAAGATGATCTGTTTTCTTTCTCACTAAAAAAAATGATCACTTTGGCAAGGTAGACAATTTACACTTGTTGCAATGAATACTTATTTACACAGGGCAAATATTAGCTGTGCATATTTGAAGATAGATTGTGGGACTGGGAGTATTTCCTAAGAAGCGATAATCCGAGGTCCAAAGTACGGCATGTCGAGAGAGTAGAATAGTACTCAGCCTGCATCAACTATTTCTGACTTAACTAGAAACAATAAAGTACTTTCACTAGAATGTGACTTGCAAAATGTTTCATAGGATGTTTTAAAACTCGGCTTCTACGTCCTAGCTGTTAATCTTTTTATTGGAGGCGGGAGAATTCCGATGATCAGATCTGATTCCAGTCGAGTTTGGAAAGACAAAACTGCAGCCCTGGGGTTGAAGGACAGAAGCTAGCCTGCAGGAGGAGAGGAATCTCAGAGAGAGGAGGCGTCACAGGGAAAGACAACTGAAGGATCCGTGGACGACGTGGAACACTTGGTAAGGCGGGTGACTGAACAAATGAGTGAATGGGTAGACAGACAGACTAGACAGACACACATCCCCATTTTCCCAAATTCTGCCTCTCGCTTGCCCCAAACTCCCTTCCCCACTCCATTCCTGATACATCTGCGAGAGCTCAGAGAATTTCTGGAGGGTGGGAGTGGGGGGACTCCCCAGGAGGTTTCTTCCTCCTTTATCTAGGTGTATTCAGTGTTTAGTAGAAAGAACCAGGCTGGAATTTTCTATTTCCCACCCTCCCCCACCTCTCTGATCTTTCTGCCAGTGAAGGATGATATTCCCATGGCCTCAAAGAATAAGATGGGTTGAAGGCTTGTCTTTGTGTTAAAATACTTATTCACTTTAGCAGGTGAGCAACGGAAGTCCCCTATAATTTAAACAGATATTTGTGCTTTTAATAATATGGGTGTAATTCTGTTAATTCACGAAAAACCGTGCAGAATGGACGTCTGGTCACAAGAATCGTTCTGCACTAACAGGCACTACCTGTTCCAGATTTAATGGTCAAACAAAAGCAGCCAGTGCTTGCTTAGCATGAACGCCCTGGGGGCTTTATCAGAAAGGTTAAAGCTAACAGCCTACCTGCACCACAGTGATAATTATCTGCTTCTACCTTCCTAGCCTCCCTTATATACCCCAAAGATTTATACACCTAGAAACCGACTCCCGTAGGTTTTGGACTTATTACTCTGTAATAGGAGTTTGCACAGATTACCTACTGAAGTGAGAGGTTTCTGAAAACCATAAAATAAACCACTCAATAGTTTTACAAGACATTTAAGTCTGATAGCGGAGCTTATATTTTCTCCCAAGAACAGCGGCTGGTCTGAGAGAGAAGCAGGAGCTGGGTCTGACAGCCTAACTTTATACTCCCCACACCACAGGACATTTTCTAAATGATATTGGAGATCTCATTCTAAGTAAATAGATTACAATCAAAGTCAACAGTATATTTCCTTGCCAACAACAACAAAAATGTTTCTAGATTTGGAAGCATAGTATCTTATTACAGGAAAACCTTGATAAGTAATGAGAAGAAAAAAATAGTTCCTTAAAAATAATTTCATAATTCTCTACTTTTATTAATAAAGCTCATTTCTACCATGCCCTTCAGATTATTTAGAAATGACACCTATTGATTTCTCTCTCTACCACATGGTGACCAAACTGTGTGTATATTTTATACGATTTCAAAAAAGTTTGCACAGAATAATATAAACAGGCTACTTAAACAGGTATTTAAAAGCGACAGCTTGAAATGTTGCTTGCTGTTTACCAGTGCATAAGAGGAGAATATTAGCATTTTCTTTTGAGATTTACCTTTAAGCAAGAATCTATAGAAAGGAGTTAAAAAATCCTGTTATAGTGTGGAGGCAAAGGCAAGACTAGAAGAAACATTTAACCAGGCCCCTGCAGTTGGTACACGTGGTTCCAGCAGGAGGCAGATGCCTCAGAACAGGAAGCTTACTCAGTCTCCAGTGCTCCTGCAGAAATGACACCTAGATACACTCTAATACAATTTCCTTGTAGAGGTGTAAAGTCCAGAATTAGACATTTTGATACGTATTTAAAAGAAATGGTTGCTGGTTATTATATTTCTGCTTAGTGCTCTGTGTCAAAAAAACAAGTTCAAGAAATAACTGAAGACAGCCTGAGAGATTTAGGGTAGTACTTCCTGGTAGCAAGAATTAAACACTGAAGAATTAGGGAGAAGGAAAGTTCTAGAATTTGCACCTTCAGCAGGTTAGTCCCACCTGCTTGTTGCACCTTAGGTGTGATGTTACAAAGGACATGGCAGAGGGCAAATGCGAGCAGGAGCATGCAGCCAAGACGACTCTTTGTGCCTTAAATCCTGTGCCTCGGCCCACCTGGCTTCCTCAAGGCAGATCACGGTTTTCATCATAAAGAAATGAAAAAACAGGAAAAGAAAGAGACCGTGGAAGACCTGGAAAGCACTGTGCAGCCTACGTTTCTCATTCTCTTATGCCCACCACAAAAATGTTCTACAGATGAAGTAATAAAGAATGTATTCCACTCATACATGGTATATGCTGTTTTCAGCTTCCATCAAAAACACGGGGCTGTGTGTGTTCTGGAACTGCTTTTGCATGACTGGCTGAAGAAGCCATTGCTTTCCAAGGGTTGGAGACTATGAAAAGCAATACTTTCTCCAAATCCATTAAGGTCAGGGTATTTGGCTCTAGATTTCCCCAGAATTTAAACTGCTATGTTGTATTTAAACAAATTATTTGTCTCTCAAAAGCACTTATTTGATCAATTCTTCCAATCTAGGCTTTGGTTTCTGCAAATAACCTACTAATGGTGATTTATGTTTCCTAAACTTGGGTCTATGAAGAGGAAGCCAGCTTCCCCAGCAAATCCAACACAAGGAATAGCTCACGTGGTGAAGAGGTGGCAAAAGAAGGACCTAATGATTAACATCCTGGGTCTAACCGAATGCCACTGTAACAAGCTTAAGGAACTCAAGTGACTGTTATATTGGTATCTGAAATATACATATGCCATATTTATCTATTGAATTTTCGCCTACCCTAATAAATTAAGGAAAAGAAACTGCCACAAAGTGTCCATTTCTATCATTTTCACCAGAAAGTTTATATATGAAAAAAGGCTCATTTGAAGGAAATAAAGAAATGTGGTTTATACAGCATACTATTTAAATGTTGTTTTAGAAAATACTAGTGGCCAAGTATCTGGGTATTCAGAGTGACTGCTAACAGACATATGGTTGTGAGGGGACAATGAGGTCCCTCAGAAGTAAATCTGACGTCTTTAGCAAGAGCAAGTGGTCCAGATACATCAAAACGCTTTGAAGCATCTGTCTCTCAAAACAGGGAGAACAGCTCACTCAAGACTTTTTCTAATTATGACCAACTGTGCTGGTTCACAAAGTTGCAAAGCAAAGTTTCTAATAAACAAACATGCCTTTTGTTGCCTACTCTACTAAATGTCCCTGTCTGGAACTTGAACACTCCACCAGAGTGTGGGCGGCTGTTGGTATAACAAGGATCCTGCAGTGACTGTTTGCACACGGTCGATTATGTAGTGATCCTTAGCCAACTGCCCATTTCCCTTAAGCAAAAAAGGAGAACAGGATGCATGGCTCTTTGCATTTCTTTTGGGAGGAACATAACATGAGAAATTTGGTCCCAATATTTCCAAGCTGTGCCTCCAGGAGACAATTAGAGAATGGAAAAAGAGTTTGGAAAAGAAAAGGGATAGCAGAACAAGAGTAAGAGTTTTGCATGAAGCCTTAAAAGAGAAAGAAAATATGGGAAAGTAGAGACAGACATCAGAGCTGCACCTCAAAGGCTCTGAGGTCCCAAACGAAGGCACGTTCTGTAAAAGCCTGGGGAGCAGAGAGGCAGTGAAGGTGAGCATCAGTCTCTGTCATCAGGACAGGCAGGAGAGCCCTGAGTGTTTGGATGGAAAACCAAACTGGTAGGGCTGAGGGGCAGGTGCTGTTCACAACACCACAGCACTGAGAACCCGGCCGCCTATGCCGAAACACTTCCAATGGTAAACACAACCACGGTTAGTTAATGTGGCACGTAAAAAGGGGCAGCTATTCTATGTAGCAGAAACTATGTCAATAAACAAATAACCATATAATCATAACATAAATATAAATGGTACGTAAATCATATATTAATATATTATGATTATTTAATCAATGCTTTTCACGTGGGGCCTCAGCTCTGCTTTTCCTTTGCACATCAAGCCAGCTTTTCATGCTCGTTCTTCGCAGTAGGGCAGGCGCTCTCAGGACCCAACCTGAAGTCCACCCTCAAATGCCATCAGGAGAACATGGAAGGAGCAAGAGGCACAGAGAGTGACCGCAGCTGCGACACCCACGGCAGACAGGAAGCTGGGAGAGGATGGAACACGGGCTCGGGCCAGAGCTCCCCTCCCCACTCTCCACGCGGCACTGGCTTCCCCTGCACCTCCGCTGACAAATCCAGGCAAAAGAGGTCCTGTGACTGAATGTCTCCCAATTATTAATGACAGAAGCCTCCTGCAGAGTGTCTCACTGACAAATTCACACTCAGGCTTCTGCCTGAGTACAGGGAAAGCTACCCTGAAACAAAGCGCGCTGAAACATCATTGAAGCTACAGTCGGCAAGGAGCGTAAAAACCGCCATGAGCTGCTGGGAGGGTCGTTAAGTCGGTACAGTTCTTTTGAAAATCCTTCTCTCTTTTTTTAAACGATAAGATTTTAAAATGCTTACACCTCTTGATAAAGTAACTCTATTACTTAGAATTTACTTTGGAACAAGTCTAAAATACAGAAAAAACATTACCAAAAATATACTCGGTGAAACATGAAAATAATCCAAATGTCTCCAGTAAGAGGCTGAAGTATCTATGAAATACATTAAATTTATTGTTTAAAAAACAGTACGATATTCTTATTTTCATAAAAACGTAAATGTATGCATTTTAAAAAGACTGAGTTAATAAATACACCAGAAGAATATCAGATGTTACTGCTGGTGGGAAGATGAACCAGTGATTTTAATTCTCTTTTGTACTTTCCTATTTTCCCCAGTAAAAGCATTCATCCACGTATCTGCATGCAAAGGTATTTTCAAATAGTTTATAAAAATTATGTTTAAGTTTGGAATGGTGAGGACATCGCAGTATGAGTTCTGCGATGTAAAGATGTATATTACATATATGAAGAAAATATACATATATAACACTGCCTGATGAATTTATGGGTGATTTTTTTCTTTATTCTGGATTACTTTCCTAATTTTCCACAATAATCATTCTTATAATCAGGAAAATACTAATGGCTATTTTAACTATAAAAGCACTGACAGAGTTAACAGGGAGAATGTGCTTTTGTTTTAAAAAGGTATTGTGTTTTGCACAATTTCAAGTATGTAAACAATGCATGTACAGAAAAGTCAGAGCACTAGTACACGAAAATATTAACACTGGTTGTCCAAGTGGTAGGAGTAGGAGATTTTTTCCTTCCTACATTTGTGTATAGCCCGCATTTAAAAATAGTCTCATTGTAAATGTGTTATTTTATAGCTGAAAGTGTCAGAAACCATGGATGGTTGTTGTTGTTGCGTTTATAGAAGCATTTATTAACCAAAATCTCTATTTTGGGTTTTCACTCAGCCTCAGTTAACTGCAATAAAAAATATATGTTTAGAGTGCTGTGTTTTGGGGAAGTCTGCATTATTGCTGCTGCTTTAGAAAGCCCAGTAAACTAGTAACGACTTGGATGTTACAGCCCTACCATGAGGTGCACACACAGTTAAGGCAGCCTTTACCTAGTGTCCCCTTCCAAAAAGAGACTTCACTGCGGTAGAGTGTGACATCTTTTGCAGGGTTTATGAGCAAGAGAGGGGTGAGGACCACTTTAAAAATGAATTGTTTCCATATAATAGATGTCACTCAATATTTCACAAAACAAAACCAGTCGCTTCTTTGCTGTTGTTTCCCTGAACACAATCAGCCGCCAAACAGCAGAGAACCAGACAGAACCAGATTTGAGGGAGGAGACAATTCAGTCAAAAACGCAAATCCCCAAGCCCTCTTTCGCAAATATTGGTACTTGCTGTGCACCATGGATGTTTGAGTCAGCTTGTGTACTTAAACATTTTAGAAACCTTTTGCCTGACATTTGGTGATTTTTGCTTTATTGTACTCATTATCAGCTAACAGTTTCTGTCCTCTGCTCTCTGTGACAACAAAACTTTGGAGATAACCTAAAATTACCAAAATGCTTAGTTAAATAAATTATGGCTTTCAAAAGAGTATGTACACTATATACAAAAATTACTTTTAAAAATTGAATGATTGGAAACATTAATTTAAACCAGTTTGCAAAAAATTCATTAACATATTACTGAATAACAATCCCAGGTGCTCCAAAATTCTAATTCCATTTCTTCTTTCTAAAAAACGTATATACTACTTTTCTCCCTAATTTCAAAAGCTGCACGATACCTCCTTTGAATCACTTCTTGGAATGTATATTAAAGATACTCGCATAAGCATGAAAAGATTGTTTTCCAAATCCACGCGGCAGGATTTTGGGGGACAGATGCATTTTACAATTCCGCGCTTTGGATTTTGGACAGTCTGTGGGTACGCGGAGCAGATGCTAGCTCACACAGCTCACCACGACCACCGCCCACCCTCCTGGGCTGGGAAACAGCAGATATTCAAACATGAAGACATGTGAATGACGCATACGGGTACACTCACACTAAGGCGGATGAATAAAGACTATAAAGAACTTCCGGTCAGCTCAAGAAGGGTTTTGACATCACAGGTTATCAAGGGAAGTAGGGAGGGAGGGATGGAAGGAAGGAAGGACCTTTTGTTTTCAGACGTTTAGATTTTGAAACTGCAGATACGTGATTCTGGACCTGTTAGGCTGAAGCCACACTGTCCATCGAGATGGGAGTGGTTACATTATAAATGTTTTATTTGCACCATAACATACTATCATACAATGTTAGGTGAAGGAAGTAAGTTGTAAAATGGTGTGCACAGCCCGGACTCTTTATTGTGGGGAAAAACTGTGTTATGTATAAATAAGTTACATGGCTACCTGGAAGGTGATACTACCTGGAACATTTACTTTACTTTTTCCCTTTTGTACTGAAAAAACAAGTAAGCAACATGTTTTGATTGTACTGCCTAAAAGGACAAAGACTATTACTGACTAAAAGGACTATTCATTCCACAATATTTAGTGAGGACCTATCTACTCTGTCCTAGGCACTGCTGAAGGGACACGACAGTTTAAAAAAAGTCACTTACCCCATTCTCACATTTTGCTAATCGACATTAACAGCAATAATAATAACACAAAGACTAAAAGTGCTATAAAGAAAAATAATGCAGGATGGAGCAATCGAGTAATGGGAGGGCATTCAAAATAGGATCACCAGATTTATGAGGTAACACTCAACTTATGAATATTCATTATCAGGAAAAAAATCAGTGCACCATCAAGTCAAAAGAATATCAAGAGCATCTATGTTCAAGGGGCCGGCCTGGTGGCGCAGCGGTTAAGTTGGCACGTTCCGCTTCTCGGCGGCCCGGGGTTCACCAGTTCAGACCCTGGGTGTGGACATGGCACCGCTTGGCAAAAGCCATGCTGTGGTAGGCGTCCCATGTATAAAGTAGAGGAAGATGGGCATGGATGTTAGCTCAGGGCCAGTCTTCCTTAGCAAAAAGAGGAGGATTGGCAGCAGTTAGCTCAGGGCTAATCTTCCTCAAAGAAAAAAAAGAACATCCAACCTGCTGAGACCCAATTATAGTAAGTAGCTTCTAGAAACCTATACAAATAGAGCTTTTTAAAACTAAGAGGGGTTTCCACTGAAAATGTTCCCATACTTACTCAATTATGGATTTTTGTCTTTGAGTTCTTTTCCGTTTCTAATAGATCAAAATAATGTGTATGGCTAATATTCTAATTATATTGGTCCTAATAGACTTTCATGTAATTGACTACCCCAGTGCTGTCTTCTCACAAATGTTGAACCCACGCGAGGCTTTTAAGAAAAGGTTAAAGATGCAATTTCATA